GGGGGGGGGGGGAATCCTACTCCCAGAGGGAGTAGGACTCTCCTGGCGCGCCCTCCTTGGCCAGCCTCCCCCTCCCCCTTGGCTCCTTTATATACGGGGGCAGGGGGGAACCCTAGAACACACAAGTTGATCATCGTGATCGTTCCTTAGCCGTGTGCGGTGCCCCCTGCCACCATATTCCACCTCGATCATATCGTTGTAGTGCTTAGGCGAAGCCCTGCGTCGGTAGAACATCAAGATCGTCACCACGCTGTCGTGCTGACGGAACTCCTCCCCTAAGCTTTGCTGGATCGGAGCCCGGGGATCGTCATCGAGCTGTACGTGTGCTAAGAACTCGAAGGTGCCGGAGTAACGGTGCTTGGATCGGTCGGATCGGGAAGAAGACGTACGACTACTTCCTCTACGTTGTGTAAATGCTTCCGTTGCGATCTACAAGGGCACGTAGATCATACTCTCCCCCTCGTTGCTATGCATCACCATGATCTTGCGTGTGCGTAGGAAATTTTTTGAAATTACTACGTTCCCCATCACACTCCTGGCGGGGCCTGCGGTCATCCCAACGTCCTCCATCTCGTCCACCTCCTCGGTCGTAGCCCCGACCGTTGCGCTCGGGGCGTCGACCGACGTGTCCATCTCAAATGGCCCTGAGCTCTTGACAATCGTTGGTGTTGTGGGTGCGCATGTTGTGGAAGGCGCAGAACGTGAGAAGATCTCGGCCACACTTTGTGTCTAGCTCTGCCGTGAGTACGACCACCCCTTTGTGCTTCACGTCTTTGACCTTGGCCTTCTTCTCCTCTAGATCCACGGCGGGGAGCTCGAGGAGGGAGAGGCGCCCCTGTTGGAAATATGCCCTAGAGGCAATAATAAATTAGTTATTATTATATTTCCTTGTTCATGATAATCGGTTATTATCCATGCTAGAATTGTATTGATAGGAAACTCAGATACATGTGTGGATACATAGACAACACCATGTCCCTAGTAAGCCTCTAGTTGACTAGCTAGCTCGTTGATCAATAGATGGTTACGGTTTCCTAACCATGTACATTGGATGTCGTTGATGACGGGATCACATCATTAGGAGAATGATGTGATGGACAAGACCCAATCCTAAGCCTAGCACAAGATCGTGTAGTTCGTATGCTAAAGCTTTTCTAATGTCAAGTATCATTTCCTTAGACCATGAGATTGTGCAACTCCCAGATACCGTAGGAATGCTTTGGGTGCACCAAACGTCACAACGTAACTGGGTGGCTATAAAGGTGCACTGCGGGTATCTCCGAAAGTGTCTGTTGGGTTGGCACGAATCGAGACTGGGATTTGTCACTCCGTGTAACGGAGAGGTATCTCTGGGCCCACTTGGTAGGACATCATCATAATGTGCACAATGTGACCAAGGAGTTGATCACGGGATGATGTGTTACGGAACGAGTAAAGAGACTTGCCGGTAACGAGATTGAACGAGGTATAGGGATACCGACGGTCGAATCTCGGGCAAGTATCGTACCGATAGACAAAGGGAATTGTATACGAGATTGATTAAATCCTTGACATCGTGGTTCATCCGATGAGATCATCATGGAACATGTGGGAGCCAACATGGGTATCCAGATCCCGCTATTGGTTATTGGTCGGAGGGTTGTCTCGGTCATGTCTACATGGTTCCCGAACCCGTATGGTCTACACACTTAAGGTTTGATGACGCTAGGGTTATAGGAAAAGTATGTACGTGGTTACCGAATGTTGTTCGGAGTCCCGGATGAGATCCCGGACGTCACGAGGAGTTCCGGAATGGTCCGGAGGTAAAGATTTATATATGGGAAGTCCCATTTTGGTCACCGGAAAAGTTTCGGGTGCTATCGGTAACGTACCGGGACCACCGGGAGGGTCCCGGGGGTCCACCAGGTGGGGCCACCAGCCCCAGAAGGCTGTGTGGGCCAAGTGTGGGAGGGGACCAGTCCCAGGTAGGCTGGTGCGCCCCCCACCAAGGCCCAAGGCGCAGGGAGAGTGGGAGGGGGCAAACCCTAGGTCCAGATGGGCCTTAAGGCCCACCCTAGGGCGCCCCCCTCTCTCCCTCTCCCCTCTAGCCGCCACCCTAGATGGGATCTAGGGCTGCCGCCCCCCTTGGGGAGGGAACCCTAGAGGGGGCGCAGCCCCTCCCCTCCCCTATATACACTTGAGGTATGGGGTTGCCCAACATCTGTGATTTGATCTCTCTCTTGGTGCAGCCCTACCCCTCTCCCTCCTCGTCTCTCGTAGTGCTTGGCGAAGCCCTGCTGGAGTACCGCGCTCCTCCACCATCACCATGCCATTGTGCTGCTGCTGGACGGAGTCTTCCCCAACCTCTCCCTCTCTCCTTGCTGGATCAAGGCGTGGGAGACGTCACCGGGCTGTACATGTGTTGAACGCGGAGGCGCCGTTGTTCGGCGCTTAGATCGAAATCGACCGTGATCTGAATCGCTGCGTGTACGACTCCACCAACCGCGTTCTTGTAACGCTTCTGCATTGCGATCTTCAAGGGTATGAAGATGCACTCCTCTCTCTCGTTGCTAGTCTCTCCATAGATTGATCTTGGTGACACGTAGGAAAATTTTGAATTTCTGCTACGATCCCCAATAGCCCCTCCTCTGCTCTTGCACAATTGGTTGCTATGTTGAACAGTTTCAAAGTCATGCACAACTCCTCATGGATGGCGAGCTCCTCCTTCATCTTGATGTCGCAGATACCATCAGAAAACGCTGAGACGATGGCCTCGTCCGTCACCCTGGGGATCTTGAGACGCACGTTGTTGAAGCGTTGTATGTACTTCTGCAGGGTCTCTCCCGGCTGTTGCTTGATGCGGCGCAGGTCACCCTCGGCCGGGGGGCAATCGCGAGTGGCCTGGAAGTTGGCAACGAAGTGATCACGCATCTCATCCCAGTAGGAGATCGAGCCCGGGGGGCAGGTTCAGGAGCCATGAGCGAGCGCCGTCCTTGAGAGCCATGGGAAACCAGTTCGCCATGACCTTTTCTTCGCCGTTGGCCGCCTCGATGCTTAGCTCGTAGAGCTGCAAGAACTCCGTAGCGTCGGGGGTGCCGTCGTAGCAAGGAGGCAGATCCGGTTTGAACTTGCCTGGCCAGACAATGCTACGCAGCTCAGGAGTGAAGGCGCGACAGCCTGTCGTGGCCACTGGGGCCAGTCATGGAGGCGGAGCTTGATCTTGGTGTCCCTGCACCGCCACGGCAAGTGGCGCATGGCCCTGCCGCAGCAAGCGATCCTGACGTGGCGGTGCCGAGAGCGGTGGAGCATTTTCTTACGGACGGGGAACCTCTTGGCAGTTTCCTTCTTCGTGCGCGGGCACACGGCGCGGTGGATTACGCCGTGGGACTGCACATCTTGGAGCGAAGACGTCGTCCTGACGCGGAGGAGGCGGAGGCGCTCCATGAGTCGCGCGTCTCGGTGCGAGGGCGCCATCTTGTTGCGGAGGGGGCGGAAGCGCTCCGTGAGCCACATCGCCCGCAGCCGGGGGCGGGCGAGGCAGCGAGAGGGATGGTGCAAGAGAGCCCCCCGCGGTGGTGACGCCGTCTTGGGCTCCACGGTGACCTCCGTCCTGCCGTCTTGCTGGTCTTGGTCTCGTTGCACCGATATGGAAAACTTTGCCTGATGCCTCGGGACTCCTCGCTTGCGCTTGCCTCTTTAGCACCAAAGAGGAAACGAGGACACTCAGCGCGCTGGCGCCCGCCTGGCTCCGGTCGTCATGGCTTGCGTCACAGAAACCTCGCGAGGTGTCCCTTGCCTTGAACTCTCCGCCTCTCGCGAGCCAGCCTGGTGAGGCCGCCCCTAAGAAGGTCTTGCGTCGTCCGCCTCGCGAGGCTTGGCCCTCGCGAGGGTCTTAAGTATTTGCTGGTGAAGATGGGTTGGCGGGGCCGCTGGTGGAGCCACGCTGTGGGCCGCAGGCAGGCAAGTCTGGGGACCCTCGTTCCCAAAACGCTGACACGTTCGTTTCGTAAGACAAGAATCAAAAATTGGATTCAAGATTTTTGATAAAAGTTGAAAAGAAGTTGCACTGGTTGGTACTACCTCCCTTTCAAATTAGTTGAAGTTATGGTTTTGTCTAAGTCAAACTTCTCCAAGTTTGACCAGGTTTATATGAAAAATCCAATATCTACAACATCAGATGTATACTCCCTTCGCCTAGAATTACTTGTCACATAAATGGATGTATCTAGACGAATTTTTAGTTCTAGATCCATTAATTTCTATCCATTTTTGCGTCAAGTAATTTAGGACCGAGGGAGTATATGAATAAAAGTATATATCTGATGATGAATTTAATGAAAGTAATTTGATGGTGTGAATGTTGATATGTTTTTTCTACATATTTGGTCCCAAATTAGAGAAGTTTGATATAGGATCAACCTAAAACTAAAATTGTGTCTCGTTGGAGGAAATTTGCGATAAGGAACGAGAGTTACGAGGATACAAGACGTGTTATCCATTGTTTGGCTAGGGGGAAGGGAGTTGAGGAGAGAAGGGGAAAGGGAACCAAAGAGGTCAATTTCCACGCCTCTCTTCCCTAGCCCCTTGCTAATTCAGGCTGGATAGAGGTTCCTCCCAAATTCTCACCGATAATTGTTCCCACCACACATCAAAAAGGAGACTGAGACTAAAATTCTAGTAATTCTCAAGTCTAATCTCTAGACAAACTCCTCGCTGTTGTAATCTTCATTCCCTTTCCCTCAGACTGCCAGACACGCTGCAAGTAATTTGGAGAGGGGGAAGTAGTTTCGGAAGTAAACAAACATGCAATTACTGGATACAGCCCGCAAGCAACAGTTTAAGCAGACGAACCAGAGTATACACAGCCATTAATCAGAACTCCATTGTCATGGATCTCTTCTACGTACAGAGTCTCCGAATAAAACACAGCAAAGAGATTCATCGAGATACAAAGCGAGGCGACCTGCCATGAGAATCCAGTAAGATGATCAGGTCCTCTTGACGGGGTCGAAGTTGGAGACGGCGACGACGGCCCCGGCGATGCCGGCGAAGACGACCCCGCCGGACACGATGCTGAGCAGGAAGTTCTTGAGCGACGGGGACAGCCCCGGGGACGCGGCCTCCGCGACCTCGGGCAGCACCAGCGCCGCCGCCACGGCCGCCGCGGTCAGCCCGGCCGTGAGCTTCTCCTGCACGGACGCGGAGGACGCCCGGACGGCCGTCATCCTCGCCGCGGGCCTGCCGGCCCTGGCCACCGGCAGGGGCCGGAACGACGCGGCCTTCTTGAGCCCGGCGACGGACAGGGGCGCCGCGACGGCGGACAAGGACGCGGTGGCGGCCATGGCGTGCGTGCTGCGTGGGTGCGTCTTCTTCTTGGCTTGGCGCGCGGCGTGAGGTGTGTGGGGGACGGGATGGTTGGCGCGGAGAAGGTTTTAGTAGGGCGTGTGGAGGATCGCGGCGTGCCAGGTCGGCGCGGGAGTCCGACGTGGGGAGCTCTCGTCGCGCCGTGGAGGGATAACGTTATCCCCGGAGGTGGCATGTGGCTGTGGCGTTCCAGCTTGCGATTTCCGGTTCGGATCTGATTGGCTCAGGTCCCCCCTTTCTCCGTGTTAATTTTTTCAACTACACACAAGGTCCGGAAAATTCTCACAAAATTGGTGTGTTTACATCCTGTGATGGGGTGTGAGGCACATAACTTAGCAAGAACGTGTCTCTTTGTGTGTCGACATAATAAGTTGTGCGTACAATTACCATCCGTCTTTCCTTTTATAAAGCGCAAATATTTGTTATACATAGTGTTCTGGATTCATACCGAGTCCAACAAGTTCAAAACTTTTAGTACTTTGTACGTGTGCATTTGATTCGTTTTTAAGCAAAGGATATGCCCTTAAAATAATTTTAAAAAAAACACATAAGCTCACTAAAAAAAAGACAAGCGATCTGATGTCTACATGAAGAGACGCATGAGACTTTGCGTGTAGAATTTGCAAGAGACCAATTCTAGAGAAACTAGACTAACCTTGAGGGTTTGAAAGATGGACTGTACTAACGCGCAGTCGTTCGGATTTTAAACAACAAATTAGGACGACCTAACTAGTGCGTGCATGCATGCGAGTGCATGCAGCCATTTTTCTTCACATGCATGTGATTACTAGTTTTTCTCTCTCTTCATGCACATGTCATGACTCTTAATACAACGCCTAATTATATGCATGCATGTAAGACAAAATTGATGACATCACTCTAGATTTTCTCATATTTTGAATTTCCAAAATGTTTTGTAGTTCAAACCGTCGGTCCGATCGAAAAATTGTTTTCACATAAAAAATTCGGCGCGACGAGACATTCGAAACTAGATTCCATGTTAATATGTTTCGACAACTTTTTTTTCTGAGGCAAAATGTTACCACGCCTGGGTATGCAAGTTATCACGTATATGGTACATAAATTACCACAATGTTTACATAGGCAAAATTCTGGCCATAAAAATGACTTCTTCCAGCTTTCTCCCCTGATTTCGGGCATAAAAAGTGCGAAAAAGCTAATGTCATCATAGATTGTTTTTGTTTTAAAATTTTAAAATGTTTTATAGCTCAGACCGCTTGTTAGATCCAAAATCTGTTTTTACAAAAAAATCCGCCACGGCGACACCATGTTTTTTTTGGCATGGTTCGAATACTTTTTTTTGGGTCAAAAATTATCATGCCTGGGCTAAATAAATTATCAGCTCTGCTATGCGTATATTACCGTGTTATTTACATAGATCCTACCAAACTTTGTTTTCATCAACTTTTGTTCACGGGTCAAAGTTATCGAGGTGTTTGTACCTAAATTATCAGATCCGAGAGCCTATATTACCATGTTATTTATACTGATGTTACCGAAGTATGTTTCCAAACAACTTTGTTACGCGAGTCAAAGTTATCGTGGTGTTTGTATCTAAGTTATCAGATCCGAGAGTGTATATTATCATGTTATTTACATGAGAAAAAAATTAGTGGTATGTTTTCAACAACTTTTTTTCACGGGTCAAAGTTATCGTGGTGTTTGTACCTAACTTATTAGGTCCAGAAGCCTATATTATCATGCTTATTACACAAAAAGTTACCGGTGGTATGTTATTAACATCTTTTTCCCCTAGTCAAAGTTATTGTAGTGTTTGTATCTAAGTTATCAAGTCCGGGGGCATATATTACCATGTTATTATTTACATAGATGTTACCGAAGTATGTTTTCAACAACTTTTTTTCACGGGTCAAAGTTATCGTGGTGTTTGTACATAAGTTATCAAGTCCGGGAGTGTATATTACCATGTTATTTACAAAGAGAGTATATTTCCAACAACAACAAAAATTCACGTGTCAAAGTTATCGTGGTATTTGTACCTAAATTATCAGGTATGCGATGTATATATTACCATGCGATTTACAAAAATAAGTTACCAGGGGTGTTTTTAACAACTTATTTCCTGGGTTAAAATTACCCCTCGATATTTATATGCAACTTATCAGCTCTGTGGTGCCTAAATTATCATGCTATTTATAAAGAAGTTATCGGTACTATATTTTCAACAACTTTTTTTTTACGGGGCAGAGTTATCGTGGTGTTTGAACCTAAGTTATCATGTCCAGGAGCCTATATTATCATGCTATTTACACGAAAAGTTATCGGTGATATATTTTTAACAACTTTTTTTCACGTGTCAAAGTTTTTGTGTTGTTTGTACCTAAATTATGAGGTCTTCGATGTGTATATTACCATGCGATTTACAAATAAGTTATCAGGGATGTTTTTCAACAACTTATTCCCCGGGTTAAAATTACCCCTAGGTGTTTGTATGCAAATTATCAGCTCCGTAATGCCTAAATTATCATACTATTTACATAGAAGTTATCTGGGTTCGGATTTTAGCATTTTCGTAAATATAATAGGACATCTACTTGACACAAACTGCATCTATTGTCCCTCGGATTTATCTGTTGAAACTAAATTTACCTCTTAATTTACCCAAGCTGCATTTCACAAAGAGAGAATGGAACAATGAAAGTCTGATTTTTCTGAAAACTAATAGTAGACCTTGGCCTCATACACTTTCTTCAGATAAAAGAACACTAAAAACAGAATTTTCTGGATTGAAATGATGCATTTGTACGCATGTTCTAGCTGTTACTGCCGCTGCTCATTTGGTATTCTAATTGGAAGCAAAATGCAGTTGCTTCAGAGGTCAAATCTGCAATTTATTCAGAGGCCAAAAGTGCAGTCACTCCGTCACACGCAAGCTGCTGCAATTTCTTCAGAGGCCAAAACTGTCGTTGCTGCAACCGCTCCTCAGACGCGCGAGGCGAGCAGCGGCACGACGGCTCCCTCTGCCGCCCGAGCGGCAGGCACCGGCGGTAATGATGGGCGGCGGATGCAGCCCGAGGTCGAGGCACATGCGGCGATGGTGGGCAGCGGATCCAGCCTGAGGTCGATGCAGCCGGCGGTAGTGGGCGCCTGGACTTCTCCCTCTCCCGTTTCTCTTCCTCTCACAGCCGGAGCTGGCTGAGCTCGGCCATGGCAGCCATGGCGCAGACGGAGCAGAATCTCGCGTGGATGGAGATGAAAGATTGAGGGGCTCGATTGGGGGCTGTACGGGTCGGAGGGAGGTGGCAGCCGGCGGCGGCGCTCGCGGGATGGGCGGCGGCGGGCGTTCCGGTCGCTCGCAGGGAGCTTTCTTTTTCTCGTGCGTGACAGTGAAAGAAATTATCGAGCGGTTGCCTGCGTCCTACGTGGGGATCGAAGGGCCATCAGGTCATACGCGCCTGTTGCAAACCACCAGTCGGCAGGATTTTAGCTTTGTCGTTGAAAGATTGGTTAAACAATCCAAATAAAGTGAAAATCTAAGGTTATCGAGAGCATTATAGTCAGGGGCTTGTCTATTGGCGTTTTCCTTCTTTTCGAGAAAGAAAGCCTCACGCCGGCCCCGCCACCGATCTGCCTGGCCTTAGGGCCATGGAGGCGTGGCGGATCTTGGTCCTTTCTAGTGGGAGGGCTTATACTTCATTTTAGATGCTTTTTTTAGTCTGTCCAGGGATTGTGTCATGCTCAAGAAGGTGAGACGTCGGCGGCTCTCTGAAGATGGAGTAAGGTTCTTCCCGCCTTGCCCTGTCCCGACGGTGCGCCTCGCGTCATCAAAGGGCGTGTGAAGGTGTGTCTCTGACGGATCTAGCAAGATTCCGTCAATGTTTGTCTTTGGCAGATCTGCGTGGATCCGGTCTTTGTTCGTCCACGTTCATCTGTCTACTGGTTGAATCCATTTCGGTCCATGCTTCTCTTCATTGGCGGCGGTTGTTGTACCAGTGCGTTGGTCCTTTATGGCCTTAGCACGACGACTTCCTGATTGTTCACTGTAATAAGATTTGACCGGCTTCGGTGAGGGAGGGGCGATGACTATGCCGCGCGCTTTGGCTCGCTCCAGTGATTGTACTCGTCGCTATGTGCTCTAAGGACACGAATGTAATTTTTGTTACTTCTTGTGCTCTTTGTACCGCCATGACGTTTGATGAATAGATGAATAGTTTTTCGTCTCTCGAATGGCAAGTTGTCAAACAGTTCAATTGTCAGAAAAAAAATCATTTCACACAATATCGTCGCCAACACAAGTACACAACTACCCTAAGGAACTCCGGATGACAATTTGCAGGGTTGGAAGCCAACGATCCATGGAACCAAAACATACGTGGGTGCGCCCGGCACCATGTGGGTTTAAGAGCCAGTTCTTTTAGCCTCATGATTCTCCAGAATCGTGATTCTGGGAAACTGCCTAGAGAATCATCTGCCCACAGAATCGTCTGCCCAGTTCTTTTCTGTGATTCTAACCTGTGATTGTTGTATGAGTTGTGTGCTGAAATGTCTGTAATGCCCCTAGACCGAAGTGTGTGATACATTGGTAACACTTGGTTATTTTGAACACGAAAACGAGTTGCAAATCTCATAAAGCATATAATATTACAATATAAAGCAAGTTGCAAAATCATAAATTGCTTGTATTACAATTTAGGACGAAAGTTGGAAATATTATATAGTGCTAAATATTACAAATTTCGTACTAACCAAATAACCATACAAATCGAAAACAGCATAAGCAAACAAGTAGCAGTATAATTTTTTTGATTCATACAAACAGAGTTGAACTAATATGTAACAGAGATATGACAAAGAGAAGGGGAGAAAGGATGAGATAGAGAGGAGCTCACCAACACCGGTGAAGTGGGCTCGGTCGACGCCGGCGCCTCCTGCTGCAGGGCGGTTGGGTCGGTGCGGGGAAGCCGGTTGGCCTCCTACTGCAGGGCGGTTGGGTCGGGGCGGGGAAGCCGGTTTGCCTCCTGCTGCCGGTGCCGAGGGGTCGGGGGTGGCTGTGGACTAGACGGGGATGCCCTGTAGAGGACCGCCGGCGGCGGAGCTGATGATTTCGGGGCGGGGAATCCGGCGGCGGCGCCAGCCCTAGGTCGCACGGGGATGGGGATGAGCGACGGGGACGAACGACTGGGGGGGATCGACGAGTACTGGGCTGGGGCGCTGGGCCTCTGTCGGTCGGCTGGCCCGAGTGGCGTATTGGGGGTAATTTCTACATCCAATAGGGGTATTTGCTAAAACTGAATCATTTTGCTTTGCGGGAATCGTCAGAATCGTCAAGTTTGCTCGATTCTGAAATACACTGCCGATTGTGGGTGATTCTAGACGATTCCTGGAGAAGCAATGAGTTCTTTTGCGATTGTGATTTTCCAGGCAGTGATTCTTCAGAATCGAGTCGAAAGAACTGGCCCTAACTACACAAGGTCCGGCAAAATTCTCACAAAACTGGCGTGTTTACATTGTGTGATGGAGTGTGAAGCACATAATTTAGCAAGAAACGTGTCCCTTTGCCTGTCGAGATAATAAGCTGTGCATACAATTACATTTTCTTTTTTTTGCGGCAATAATTCCAGTATTCAATTACACTTTCTCTTGAAGACCCACCCTCCATCTTTCCTTCATATAGCGTAAAAATTTGTTGTACACAGTGTTCTGGGTTCATACAGAATCCACCAAATTCAAACTTTCAACTTTCAATACTTTGCAAGTGTGCATTTGATATTTTTTAAAGAAGATTATATGCCCTTGTATTAATTAAAAAACACATAAGATCACTAAAAAATAAGACACGTGATCTGATGTCTGTGTATTTGCGTGTAGAATTTGCAAGAGACCAAATCACACTCGTTATAACCAGTAAGTTTTTTTTTAGGCAACGTTATAACCAGTTTTTTTTAGAAGTACATTATAACCAGTAGAAGAAAGTATACTTTCCCCCCTCAAATCTCTCTAGCTGGATCAAATTCCCCCCAAAGTCTAAAACCGGTTAAATTACCCCCTCAACTCTGCAATACCAGATCAATTAGCCCCTTGAGTGGTTTTGGGAAGGATTGCAGGTGGTTTTGACTAAAGGTTGTTGACTGGGATAATGTTTTTGAATTGGCAATGAAAGTGAGCAAGATGCCGCCGTGCTGGCCGTGCTGTCCCGCCGCGAACAGAGTAACCGCCGCCGCCCCGTCCAGTAGCAGTACACGGCTGCCATGGCTAGGCTCGGCCAGCGCCCTCCTGTACCACGCACACTCAGCTCGTCTCGCTCACCTACGTCACCCATGGCCGAGGCCATATCCCCAAGCTTGGCCGGCCACGGCCTGACCCCCCTGCAGCCGCGTCCCACATAGGGAGCACGCCCCCAGTTGGAGCCGCACTGCCGTACTACAGCGCTACACGCACGTGTCTGCACTCTGCAGATGCCCAGCCGCCCGCGCTTGTGCCCGGCGAGCTCCATTGGACCGCCATGGCCAAAAGGGCCAAGCTCCGTTGTCATGTTTGCACTTCTGGGCTGAAACCCTTAGATCACAGGCTCACACTAACATCCTGCCACCCCGTCGCCATGTTTGCCAAACACAACAAGCCGAGCAGAGCACAAGAACGGCTCACCGGCCTCGGCGCGACAGGCTCAATGACCCGCATCAACGTCACCGGCGCCGGCGATCTCGACTTCCTTTTTTGCGTCACGGTCCCGCGCCCGCCGGCCTCGAGGCCCTCATCGCCTCCCTTCCGCCGGCGTGCATGGCGGACGCAACTCATATCACACGACATGAAGAGCAACACATACCGCCAAGAGAACGCCTTCTCCATGGAGCTCTGCCCGGTCTGCCACGGGGACCTCGTCTTCCTCCCGAGGGAGGCGTGAAGGTCACTGACGCTGGACCTCCACGACGTCACCACCCACCGCGTCGCCCATCTCGGCATGAAGAAGTACAACCAGCACCGGTTCGAGCTCGCGCTTACCAGCCGACAGCTTACGGAGTCTGTTGTGCTGGACGTTGCCCCCTCGCCGACCTTCGGCGGCGCCACAACGGCGTGCACACGGGTGCCCAGCGCGTCGGAACTGGGCAGGAATGACGCCATCGTCACCGTGAGGACGCGCCTCGGGCAACGCATAAGCCCCAGCGATCTCGCACTCGGCTACAATCTCCGCGGCGCGCCAGCGCCAACAACCTCAACCTAGATGAATGGTCAGAGCCACTACTTCCCGGCGCGGTGCTCGCTCGTCAAGAACATTGCGTCGCGGGGCAAGTCAAGTCAAAACCGGTTGCAATCCTTCCCAAAACCACTCAAGGGGCTTATTGATCGGGTATTGCAGATTTTAGGGGATGATTTAACCGGTTTTAGACTTTAGGGGGAATTTGATCCAACTAGATGGATTTGAGGGTGAAAAGTATACTTTCTTCTAACCAGTAAGTTTTTTTTTGAGGGCATCTTCTAACCAGTAAGTACACTCTTGGACTAGCCCACGTTTAAGTTCCCAAAACGTTAGCCCATGTCAGCCCAAAACTTTGTATGCTTCCCTTGGGCCGGGGGCCCGGAATAAGAGAGTGACGAGCCTCCGTCGTCAAACCAGCCGTGCTCGAGTCGTGCACAGACTCTTCTCAAAAAGAAAAAAAGAAAAAGAAAAAGAAAAAAGAGTCGTGCACACAGACGCTGAGACGCATCATCCTTCTTCCCCTCCCATCCCCAACGACGACGGCGAGCCATGTCCGCCGCCACCGCCTCTTCGCCGCAGCCGCCGGAGGCCATCCGCGGAACCCTCATCCCCGTCCTGCCCGACGACCTGGCCGTCCAGTGCATCGCGCTCCTCCCGCGCGCCGCGCACCCAACCCTCGCCCTCGTCTCCCGCGCGCTGCACGCGCTCCTCTGCCTCCACCCGGAGCCCCTCCTCGCCGCCCGGCGCCGCCTCCGCCGCTCCGACCCCCACATCGTCGTCTCGGTCCGGCCGCCCTACTCCGCGTCCCCTCGCTTCTTCCTGCTGCTGCCGCATCCCGGGTGGCCCCCTCTGCCTCTCCCCTCCCCCCCGATCCCCGTCTCCTCCTCCTCGGCCGTCGCCGTCAACGGGCACCGGCTCTACCTCGTCGGCGGATCCGTGGCCGGGATCCCCGCTTCGTCGGTGCAGATCCTGGACACCCGCACCAGATCCTGGTCCATCGGCCCGCGCCTCTCCTCCCCGCGGGAGTTCGCTGCCGCCGCGGTCCTTCCCGGTCTGCTATTCGTCGCCGGAGGCTGTGTTCCGTCGTCCCCATTCTGGGCCGAGGCTCTCGACCTTGCTTCCCCTTGCGCCAGGTGGTCCACGGTCCCCAGCCCGGACCACCTCCGGGAGAAGTGGATGCACGGCTGCGTGTCGCTCGCCGGGAAGGTCCTTGCGGTGGCCGACCGCGGCGGCTTGGTCTACCACCCGGCGGCGCCACCTGGTGAGGCGTGGGTGCCGGTCTCCCCGGTCCTTGACATGGGATGGAAGGGCCGTGCTGCCGTGGTCGGTGGAATCCTCTACTCCTACGATTACATGGGGCAGGTCAAGGGATATGATCCAGATACTGATGCCTGGAACACGGTGGAAGGGTTGGAGAAGGAGCTGCCGAGGTTCCTGTGTGGTGCCACTCTTGCCAATGTCGGCGGATTGCTCTACCTGATCTGGGAAGGGAAGTTGAAAGGGAAAGCTAGTAATGAAAAAGGCAAAGTGAAGGACTTGGTGATTGAATGGGCTACCATTGAGGTCACGAGGGCCGAAGAGGGGCGGTTAAGTGGGAAGGTAATATCCAGGGATACTGCTGTGTTCACAGACATGCCGAGGGGTTCTGCGATCACACATTGCATTTCATTGGATCTATGACATGGTTGCTGCAGATGTGAAGCAAGGAGAGTATGCCTGTTTCATCAAAAGGTAAATATATGATTTGTTGATTTGTTATACATGCCTTTTTGCGCCAACTGCAATCATGCAGTTTATGTTGTTTAACAGTTTGAACAACTACCAACTAGCATTGTTTATATTTGGCTTCATTGCTGTTTCAGATTAATTGTTGGCTGAGACTCTCGAAAAACTCGGTATTGTGTGCAGTACAGCTTGACATTTGCGGGGAATGCTTCGCTGGAGGTAGGCATATGTTCTTAGAGGTATCACAATAGTCAAGAAATTACTTGGCAATAATTCATAGGTTACTATGTTGAATAAGGACACTGTATTGGTAATGGACACAGGGAGTTCGTTGTTCGGGTCGATGTGACTGTTTAGCTATTTAGCTGTTTCGTGTGAGTCGGTAATGGTCATAACTCATAAATTTTGTACTCGCTCCGTTTTCATTTACTCTGCATATTAGGATTGACCTAACTCAAACTTTATAAATTTGACCAAGTTTATCGAAAACAATCTAAACTTTCACAATAAAAAATATATATGGTATGAACATATATTGAATGATGATTCTAATTGTATTGACCTGGTATTGTGGATGTTAATTTTTTTTTGTATAAACTTGGTCAAAGTTTAGAAAGTTTGACCCAAGACAAAGCTAATATGAAAAGTAAATAAAATGGAGGTAGTATGAAGTTGCTTTGTGTGAATACAAACCGCGTGTAGCTTGGGCTCTTCGCATAAGAGATAGGGCATTGCTGATAAGCTAGTGAATTGGTGATACATTTTGCATTCAGTTTTGACTTATATATCGGATCAACATGGTCTAATGTGCAAGGGAGGTTGGTTTTGTCAGTTTTGTGGAATTAAATTTGACAAATAAAAACAAGATTGGCAGTGATGTTGTTCATGCAATCTTATGTCCAGTTAAATGCCTTCTAATATCGAGCGTTGACATAGTTGAAAAACATAGTGTTGGGTTTGAGTAATCAAGATACAAACCTTTTGTGCAATTGCAAGGGATGCCAACTATAACACCCCTCCTTGTAAGAAGGAATGTTACCACATAAACACAACCAAAGCCTAACATGCTTGTGGGAGAAGTCCGACAGCATCTCTCTTGTACCGCCGGACATCCACGACAGGCAATTGAACAAACAGAGTATATATAAATGATACCACATCTTGTTTCAAAAAAAAAAATGACACCACAAGCAGAAGCATTCAACAAGCTCATATAACCCATATGCTACACCGGAACAAGAAACCATACGTTCCAAGCACACACAGGTACTAGGTGGGGACTAGCAAACTTCAACCCACCTTGTAAAGTAAACATAGTGGTGGGAACAAACCGAAGCAAAGTTTATACACAACAAGTAGATCCTAGCTATCAAGAACAATGAACTAAAGTACGAGGGTTATCATGATCAAGCTAGGTGAATAAAAGGGGTGTGTAATTTGGGAGTGAACACTGTGAGGCATGTTATAGAATAGATAGTATCATGAAGATGAACCATGCTTGAACGGGTGAATGTTATACTCAAACCTCCCATGCTTTGAATGGCGTGAGAATGCATGAAGAATATAATGCAACCAAATAAGACCGAGGACTTGGCTTTGAGCTACCGCTGGCAAGCTGAGGAGGGATGACGTCTCAGCCAAACTCCTTTTCAACCCTCACCAAGAGGACAATAACATGAGGATGGACCCGAAGGACCATACGCTTGCAAAGCGAGAATCAGTCCTTTAATTGGGAAGATCCACTCATGATGGAATTTTTTATCAAGAACAAATCCCTACCACATACTAGTGGTATGGTGTATTAAATTATACTCTAGGGAATTGTATGTTCACCATTGCATGAATGTAAAAAACAAATGTGAACATGAACATAGTATTAAGAGAGTAATCTAACCATTGTTGCCCGGTGTACTTGCCTCAGCCGTTGCGAGGCTACCAGCGGTTGATTGGTGCTTGCAACCTGCTGTAGAAACATAAATATCAGTTTTAAAGTTTGCACCATAACATGATGTGAAAAACATACCAAAAAGCGCGCCTATCGCATTTTTGGGGTAGCAACCCTTTGCTGCCCTTTCGCCGAAAAAATCACATCTTGAGCTAGGAAGCTTGAAAACAAGCAAACAAGATGGCTATGGATTCATAAGGAACTTATCTACAAATAACTCCAACTATTCAAATTCAGAATATGAACTTATGAAGGTCAAAACCAGCAAGTACTTCATTGTTGTTTTCAGATTTAGAAATAACGAGTAGCCGCCTTTGGAAATTTATAGCAAAAAGAATACCCATGAGAATTAATTGAAACCTTTCGTACTAACAACTATGCATCACACACAACATAGCAGGGAACAAAAGCCTTTGGAAATTTATAGCAAAAAGAATACCCATGAGAATTAATTGAAACCTTTCGTACTAACAACTATGCATCACACACAACATAGCAGGGAACAAAACATGAATTTAATTGAATGGTAAAAGCTCCTAAAGCCCACGAGAAAACTCTATTTTCGTTGCCTCTGAAATTTCCGACAATTACAAAAGAGCAGTCATAACATGAGCTTCACAATTTCGATTGATAAATGATACGTTTAACCACTCGAAACGATCGTGGGAACAATACCTACAAAACATTCCACATACTGATTTTGCCATACAGGGACTCGAAATTGATGATTTCCATGTGTGAATACTTAGAAACAACAATATAGACAAATTATTGCCCTATTTCCCAAATGACCTTGCTGCTTCCAACCCTAGGAACCTAGGATTCACCTTGTACAACAACTGGGAGGATCATCTAGGGTGGGGGAACTCACCCTTGAGGCTTGAGCAAGGGGAATCAGACAGGGTAGGTGAGGATCTTTTTCTCCTCCCCTTATCTTCTCCTCTTCTTGTCTCCACTTCCTCAATATCAGGTCCAGGTTGCCCTAGGGGGTGGGGAGGGTGTGGTGTAGCAAGGAGGGACCTGGGGAGGAGTGGGGAGGGAAGGGATGATGGAGTAGCGGACTGGAGAAGAGATGGAAGGAACCGTGGAAGGACCCTTCTTCTTAGGGAAGAGAAGAAATAGAGACGTGGAGGATGGAGTGGTCGGCTCATGTGGATAGGAGGAGATGAAGATAAGGTCAAACTTCATTTTTTTTAATATAACCTAATTTCAAAGTAAAAGAAATAATCCTCGCCATCGAATCAAACAAACCGTGTAAGATGCATCCGAACTCCGGTTTGCTCAAACAAGTAGTCTACTTCGACGAGTCTGACGCATCCTCGGCATCGGATATTTGATTCGTTGAATCGATAAGTTGGATAAAGAGAGCCCAAAAGCATGAATGGACTGCTCGTCGACGGTCGAAATGGACTACTCGTTTGGGCAAATTGGAGTTTGTATGCATCTTACACAGTTTGTTTGATTCAATGCCAAGGATAATTTATTGATTTTGAAATTATGCTATATAAAAAAAGAAGTTGGACCTTATCTTCATCTTCACCACATGAGCTCCTCCTATCCACATGAGTCGACCACTCCATCCTCCACATCACTCTTTCTTCTCTTCCCCAAGAAGAAGGTTCCCTTCCACGGTTCGTTCTATCTCTTCTCCACCGGCAACCCCATCCTCCCTTCCCTCCCCAGGTCCCTACTTGCCGCACCATGCCCTCCCCCACCTCCTAGGGCAGCATAGACCTGACCTTGAGGAAGAAGTGGAGACAAGAAGAGGAGGAGGAGATCCTCACCTCCCCTGTCTGATTCCCCTTGATAATTCTCAAGCCTCGAAGGTGAGTTCCCCCACCCTACATGATCCTCTCAGGTGCTGTACATGGTAAATCCTAGGTTCCTAGGGTTGGGAAGCAGCAAATTCATTTGGAAATTAGGGGAATAATCTGTCTATATTGCTATTTCTGGGTATCCAGATCTGGAAATCACCAATTTTGAGTCCCTATATATGGAATGTTTCGTATGTATTGTTCCCATGATCGTTTCGAGTGGTTAAACATATCAATCGGAGTTGCGAAGCTCCTGTTATGCCTGTTTCTTTGCAGTTGTTCAGAATTTCAGGGGCAGCGAAGAATAGAGTTTTGCCTTGGGCTTTAGGAGCTTTTACCATTCAAATAAATTCATGTTTTGTTCCCTGCTATGCTGTCTGTGATGCATAATTGCTAGTACGAAAGGTTTCAGTTAATTCTCATGAGTATTAATGTTGCTATGAATTTTCAAAGTCGGCTACTCTCTATTTCTGAATCTGAAAATAGCAGTGAAGTGCTTGCTGGTTTTGACCTTCATAAGTTCATATTCTGAGTTTGAATTGTTAGTTATTTGTATATTTATGAAACCATAGCCATCTTGTTTGATTGTTTTCGAGCTTCCTAGCTCAAGATGTGAATTTGCCGTGAAAGAGCAGCAAAGGGTTGCTCCCTCGGGAATGCAATTAGGCGCGTTTTTGGGTATGTCTTTCATCATATTTTGGCACAATCTTTAAAACTGGTATTTATGTTTCTACATCTATTTTTATTACATGCTTTGTTGTGTGCTTGCTGAGTCTTTAGACTCACCTCTTGTGAGCTTTATTTCACGTACATCACTGTGAGGCTTTGCAAGTAGTTGGAAGGGCGTAGCTCCCATGGGTGTTCACTCCCAAATTACACACCCCTTTTATTCACCTAGCTTGATCATGATAACCCTCGTACTTTAGTTCATTGTTCTTGATAGCTAGGATCTACTTGTTGTGTATAAACTTTGCTTCGGTTTGTTCTCATGACCATTATGCTTTCTCTCCAAGGTGGATTGGAATTTACGGGTCCCACCATATATGTTTGTGTGCTCGGAACAGTTGGTTTCCTGTTTCGGTGTAGCATGTCGGTTTGGGGCTTCACCACCGAGCTCTGTATGTTAATTACGAGCTTTTTATATGCTCCCTCTTGTGTTTCGTATATATATACTCTGTTTATTCAATTGCCTGCCG